AATGAAACTAAACATATGGAAACAAAGAGTTCTTAACAAACAAACAAAAAAAAACCTAAACAAACGTTCTTATCTTAGCCAAAAAAAAGACTTGGTAGTGGCAGCAACACACATCAGAAGCTTTAGCAATTTGAAAGTCTTTTCTTTGTGTCATTTGTTTTTTAATAAATAGATGTATAATAGGATTTTTGTAAGAGACATCTTTGTTAACGTATTTTTCTTTTTTATTTATTTGTTTTAGCAAAAAACTCAACAAAGATTCTCGTTCTTTACAATTGGAAATTTGAAATTTCGAGTTGAAGAAAAAAATGCTCAAAATTCAAATTTTACTATTCTTTGTTCATTAGTTTTATTGTTATTGTTTGTGTTTTTATTAAAATTAAAAAAATGTTACCTAATAAAATTAATTTGTTGACAAATTTTTTGTTTGTAATTTGGGCACATTCTAAAAATTTGCCCTGGGCCTTAGAAAACCCAGGACCGGCTCTGCCCCCCACACACACACACACTCGACTCTCAGCATCGTAAATTCTCACAGTTAGCTTCACTGCTACCATCTTTATCTGTTGTCTGTATATGGGTGGCAACTGATTATCTGACCAATCAAACAGGAACGTAGAACTGAGAAGCCTATTGTTGCTTTTATTGCTGGACTAACTGCTCCTCCTGGCCGTCGTATGGGTCATGCTGGAGGTAGATGATCTCTTTCTCTCATTGTCTATGGTTGAGTGTGGTTTCATATCATTCTCATAGCATGATACATGTCATTGGTGGCATCTGCTTGTGCAGCTATTGTGTCAGGGGGGAAGGTTACAGCACAAGACAAAATGAAGACCCTTAGGGAAGCTGGGGTGACAGTGGTGGAGTCTCCAGCAAAAATAGGGGTTGCGATGCTTGACGTCTTCAAACAGAGGGGCCTTGTAAATTAGCTTGGACAAGAGCTGTTCATTTGAAGTCACCTGCCTATAATGTTTTATGGCAAGATGCCCAAAACAACATGATATTCTCCAATTCTTCACTGATTATAACTGTGGTAGAGCATTTGAGCGCTCAGAATTTTCCCTGCCGTTTGCCACATTGGGTGGTGTTTGGGGATCCATTAATTTGTTTATGAGATTGTTTTCATACATGATGAAGTGATTTTGAAGGGTGTCCAGAATACAAATATAAGCTCTTGCAATAGAGAAGCTAAGGGCATGGTTGACAGATTATGCACGTTGAATACGGAGCCAACAGCAATTTTGTAACAATCTGATTAGAGCCCAAAAACCGGGGGGCTTCTATTTTTTGGTTGATTTATCAAATGATTCCTTCCCTCCCTACCGTTAAAATTTATATTATCAAATGATTGCTACCGTTAAACGTTAAATTATCAAATAAAATAAAAGGATAATAAGGATAAAGTTGGAGTTTTTCTCTGCTTCCCGCCTTCCTTCTGAAGTCAACAAAAACCCTACAAATCAATATCATATAATAGTCGGAGGAGCAGACAGACAGAAAAAGAGAAAAGTCCGGCGCGAACCTCGTCATCGAAGAAGAAGCGCAAAGACGAAGAGGATCCAAACCCAGAGGTGACACAGCGCAAGAGGCTCAAAGCCCTCGCCTTCTCCAACAACCTACTCTCAGAGGTCCCTGCTAAGCCCCACGCGCCTCTCACCCCCTCAAACACTGTTGTTAAGCACCATGGCAAAGACATTCTCAAGAAATCTCAGCGAAAGAACAGGTTCCTCTTCTCCTTCCCTGGCCTCCTTGCCCCCATTGGAGGCGGTAAGATCGGTGAGCTCAAGGATTTAGGCACCAAAAACCCCGTGTTATACCTCGATTTCCCTCAGGTCTACTACTTTCATCCTTCATCCTTTTCTAATTTCATTTTGCTTGTTTTGTTTCTGAGAAAAATTTTAATTTTGGGGTTTTCAGGGTCGGATGAAGTTGTTTGGGACTATTGTGTTCCCCAAGAAGAGGTATCTGACTATGCAGTTCCCTAGGGGTGGGAAGAGTGTCATGTGCGAGGACTACTTGGATAATATGGTCAGCTACTTTCTACAGTCTGTTTGCCGCATTGATTGTTAAGTTTCTATTTCAAATATATTTGGGGTCGTAGAAAGATGCATATCTTATACCATTTTGTTCATAGGCTTGGTTGATGATCAGTGCAGAACTGTAAATTATGATATAAATTTGAAGACAGCTTGACCTTTTATCATATCATTTGAATTCTTTTCTATTTTCTAATGATTTTCTTTTGAGGGTTATTAGAAGTCAATACTTGCATGTCTGAATAAGTTAGAATTGCTACTTGTTTTTAACTGGTAAATGATTCAGTTAAGACTAATAGAACTAAGTATTAGTTGGTTGAGAATGAGGCAAAAGAACTGCAAAGCTGATATTTCGTGGAAACTTGTACTCTGAAAGTTGCATCTCATAAGGCAGAAGAACTACATAATTTTATTTTTGTATCTTTTGGGTTGATTGAAATAGCATGTCTTCATTGTATTCATACTAATTACCCTATGCTTGCAACTCCTCTCTTTGTGTGCTTTTATACTTTGTGTACATAATGTTTCAGAGCTATTGTTTCATAAAACTTCCACCAAGAATCTTCCTCTTGTGCTTCTTACAGAGTGTGGTAACGCCATTTTGCAGCCCCTTTCCAAAAAATCCACATCTTTTGTTTTGTTTGTCTATGGCCATGTGCTTGTTATATGAAACTGAGTTTCTCAAAGCATTTTTTACACACATATATATATATATCTCAGCATTAGCTTTTCATGCCCCAGATCGTATTTTCCGATGCTTGGTGGATTGGGACACAAGCAGAGAACCCCGAAGAAGCCCAACTTGATTTCCCTAAGGAACTTACTGAGGTTAGTTTCTGTTCATATAAGTCCGTCGTGTTGATAAAATGTACATATCATTTTTTGATGATCCACTCTCAGGAATTTGTTGGTTTCAGGGACAACACGCAGAATATGACTTTAAAGGTGGTGCAGGTTCAACATCTGCAAACAAGCAAAGTGATCGTAAAAATGAAACTACATATGTAGAACATTCCCCAAATGTTAAGGTTGAAGATAATGTATCAGATGATGGAAACAAGGATTCGATGAGAGCAACACCTGTTCGACATTCATCAAGAACTGGCGGAAAACGATTCAAGTACTGGCCTAAACATTTTATTGCACTCAGTAGATACTGTCATAAGAGATCAGAAGCTGGGGGAATTAAGTACACACATACTAAATATGCAAAGTAGATACATATATACGTACACATATTTGTACAGGAACATACAAACACACACACCCACACAATGTACCTTACAGGTGCTGAGGCCATCTCTGAATGATAATATTGGAAACAAAATATATATTTTTCATTTGTGCTGCATTACCATATTTGCCTTTTCAGACCTATCTGATATACCTATGAGTAAGTAGTTCTTATCATCCAAAAGAAAAAGGGAAAAAAATAGATGAAACATTTTGCAAATAGTTACAAAGGGCACTGATGCTCAATGTCCATTCTGACGTCACTTATTATAAGGCAAGTAGAAATAGATATAAAAACTTCATTTATTATATATATGTCAGTCTCCTTTCATTGAGGTATCCCTCAAATTATACCTCAAATTATTTTATTTGAAGGACACTCTTTTGGGTATCTTACTAATTTTTTTTCAACGTTCCAAACTGTCTATTTTTCAAGTCTTCATTCATAGATCATCCTTGCAAAAAATCAGACAAATTGAAAATCATCAAGGCAAATTATGCAATAATTAATTAATCATCCCATTGCAATTGGCAATTATGAAACTCCATAGTTGATAATGCTAGCCAGAATGTAAGAATGAATTTCGATCTTATCATACTCATGCTTCACCATTTCTACTTATTGCTGGAGTTGTTCAAAGCTGTACAGTACATGTCTGCTCCCAACACGCTTTTACCAGCTATGCATCTTGACTTGTTCAGGGCCTCCATGAGGGAATAAAAGAACTTAAAACTTAGTGGGAGACGACATTGGCTCGTCAACGATGGAATAAGAACAACTAGAATTTTAAAAACTACAAAAATCCTGTCCAAGAAACCTAAAGCATCTATCCAGCCTGTTATATTTAACAAACAATTCTGCACTCAAATCCAAATGATTGCAGAGATTGCTATAAAAAGGGTTTGCTCTCATTCATACCAAGCAACTCACTCCAAACAATACTTCTAGGAAATACATCCTCTAGCAATAAGACCTGAATTGCTAGAAATGGGAACCTCTTTACAGCCGAGGCATTTGCCTCTGGTTTATGCTGTGGCATTCTGCCTCATTGCAGTTAGTGTTGCTGCTGATTATAGGAAGCCTTATATTTATGCTTCGCCGCCGCCACCATTCAAGCTTCCATCAGTGCACTACCCTCCATACCCTTATAAGGCTCCTCCACTTCCAAAGTATGTAAAAACACCACCATATTATCACCACAAGTCACCAACCCCTCATTATTACCACAAGTCCCCACCACCACCATCCAAGTCTCCATCACCTTATGTGTACAAGTCTCCACCACCTCCTGCTTACTTATACAAATCTCCACCTCCACCATCCCCATCACTGCCTCCTCCGTATGTTTATAAATCTCCACCTCCACCATCTCCATCACCACCGCCGCCGTATGTTTACAAATCTCCACCACCACCATCTAAATCTCCTCCCCCTCCTTATATCTACAAGTCACCTCCACCTCCCTCTCCTTCTCCACCTCCTCCTTACATTTACAAGTCCCCTCCTCCACCATCTCCATCACCTCCCCCTCCTTATGTCTACAAGTCACCACCACCTCCTTCTCCATCCCCACCTCCACCTTACATTTATAAATCACCACCACCACCCTCTCCATCACCTCCTCCACCATACATTTACAAGTCACCTCCTCCTCCATCTCCATCACCTCCCCCACCTTACATTTACAAGTCCCCACCACCACCCTCACCCTCACCTCCTCCACCATACATTTACAAGTCACCTCCTCCTCCATCTCCATCACCTCCCCCACCTTACATTTACAAGTCCCCACCACCACCCTCACCCTCACCTCCTCCACCATACATTTACAAGTCACCTCCTCCTCCATCTCCATCACCTCCCCCACCTTACATTTACAAGTCCCCACCACCACCCTCACCCTCACCTCCTCCACCATACATTTACAAGTCACCTCCTCCTCCATCTCCATCACCTCCCCCACCTTACATTTACAAGTCCCCACCACCACCCTCACCCTCACCTCCTCCACCATACATTTACAAGTCACCTCCTCCTCCATCTCCATCACCTCCCCCACCTTACATTTACAAGTCCCCACCACCACCCTCACCCTCACCTCCTCCACCATACATTTACAAGTCACCTCCTCCTCCATCTCCATCACCTCCCCCACCTTACATTTACAAGTCCCCACCACCACCCTCACCCTCACCTCCTCCACCATACATTTACAAGTCACCTCCTCCTCCATCTCCATCACCTCCCCCACCTTACATTTACAAGTCCCCACCACCACCCTCACCCTCACCTCCTCCACCATACATTTACAAGTCACCTCCTCCTCCATCTCCATCACCCCCACCTCCCTATGTGTACAAGTCACCACCACCGCCATCTCCATCGCCTCCCCCTCCTTATCTCTACAAGTCACCCCCACCACCTTCTCCATCCCCACCTCCTCCTTACATTTATAAATCACCACCACCACCTTCTGCATCACCTCCACCTCCTTATGTCTACAAATCTCCACCACCACCATCCCCATCACCTCCACCTCCTTATATTTACAAATCTCCACCACCACCTTCTCATTCACCACCTCCACCATACATCTACAAGTCCCCACCTCCCCCTTCTCCATCACCACCCCCTCCTTATCTTTACAAATCTCCACCACCACCTTCTCATTCACCACCTCCACCGTACATCTACAAGTCCCCACCTCCCCCTTCTCCATCACCACCCCCTCCTTATCCTTACAAATCTCCACCACCTCCATCCCCATCACCTCCCCCTCCCTACATTTATAAATCCCCTCCACCTCCCTCACCATCCCCGCCTCCACCATATGTGTACAAGTCACCCCCACCTCCATCGCCGTCACCTCCCCCTCCCTATATCTACAAATCTCCACCACCTCCATCACCTTCTCCTCCTCCTCCTTATCTCTACAAATCTCCACCACCACCATCGCCATCACCTGCCCATACATACCACTACAACTCTCCCCCTCCTCCATTGAAGTCTCCACCACCTCCCCAATATTACTACAAATCACCTCCACCACCAAAGCACTACTGAGCATGCGCTCACCAATGATTTGAATAAGTTTGAATTACTACTTCGTCTTGATTTTGGATAATTCTTTCTGGCATTGTTTCCGTTGTTGAACAAGTGTATTTGTAATCAATAATTTGGGCCAATTAGAACCCCTCCTGCATTTTCTTGTAAGTACTGTACTGGTCATTTGATTTTTTCTTTAACGAATGAAAAATATTAAGATTTCACGTACATAGTTGCTTTGATTTACTATATGGTTGCATGAATTTCGGATTAATCATGTGCTTCTGGTATCTTGACCAAAATGACCTGAAGTGCATGAGAATAATACTTGTAACTAGCATTGAGTTTTAATGTTATGCCGTTTTTCTCCCATTGAGATTGTGTTTTAGTCATTAGAATAAGCCCTAAGGAACCGTGATCATATCATATATTCCATTTTGATCAACTTGACATATAATATTTGGTAATTACCATTTTATTACCCCAAATAATTGAGTGGACCTTCGAAAATTTTTGAATCCTACAAATTGAACGAGCATATAGGACTACAGGCATTGTTTAGGACCCCGAACCAGACTCAGGTGACGTAGCATTCTTATACCTTTGGATGATTTTGATGATGCAAGATGAGAAAATTTTGTCAAAGGTTAGGGATGATAGATGAAGGAAAAACATCTCCAGATGTCAACTTAAAACTCGCAGGAATGTGTTCCAAGATCATTTCCTTTTACACAGCCATATCTTGGATATCTAGCTAATATAAAATATTTTTAAACATATGCAGGAAAAAGTTACCCTTGCGTAATTATTTGCGACAAATTTTGACATGGGCAACGAACCTGAATTGCTTACCCTAAAATATATTCGTCAGGGTTCACGTTGCTCCTCTTATTCTCTTGGTTTGTCTATGATTTCATAAGTTGATCATGGATTATATTTTATGCATGCATCGGGTAAATGCATAAATTGACTTACCATCATAGACTATTAGAAAAGTAAATTAATCACCCCTCAATTCTTTGATATGCTCGACCGGGTAAATGCCTGCGATTCTGCAAAGTAGGAGTATGAACATGCTTGCACTCAAGCATTAGTTTCAGTTAACAAATCCAACACATACTTTCTCTAAGACAGGAAAATGTCATGCTTTGGCTTGACCTAACAAATTCTATTCCAACAAGACACCTCAAATATTCTTTCATCTCAAATTTAATTAATCCAATGCTTATGAGAGTACGCCACATTGCCTATAATAAATTTGTTTTCTTAACTGACGCCGTTACCTCTATCTTCCTCGCCCCTCTCCCCTCTCAACTCCTCTCTCTCTCTCTCGGTTCTTCCTATTTGTCTTTGTAATCTGGCTGTTTTTTTTTTTTTTTGGGCTTCTTCTTCTAGTTTTGTTAATGGCTCATATCATCACTATGAGTCAAGCCCATTAGAGGACACCACATGGCCATAAGGGGCTGGGTTACCTTTATACCGACCCGATCATATATGGTACCCTGGGTGTCGATAAAGAGCCTCCCAGCCGAAATGTGAAACAGTGCTCGGGCATTCGAACACCGACCCAACCACTGTGGAGCTGTGTATGACCAGAGGCGCACTGATGATATACAGGCATGATCAAACCCCTGTCAAGTCAGTCACTCCATCCTCTGATCAACAGCCTGGTGATGGAAAGAGATCAGTTAATGTA